TATTTTTCGTTCAAAATTAACTTGAATAGAACAAGGGCGACGTTTAGAACATGTCCCCGACGTGTCAACTACAGAGGTTGTGGTTGTGCTTCACTCTGCCAGTGATGGTGTGGTGTGGAGGTGAGTCATGGTCATGGTTGAATTAATACTTATAATTCAACCATGAGTCGTGGTGACGTGTGTGGTCGACATATGCGCTGCTAACTTATAACTGGTGAAAGTTGTTTTAAATTAGAAGATGACGACTACTTCATCCATAACTTTACTCAGAACATTATTGGAAACGTTTCCTATGTGTGTCCGCAAACTAAAGTAACGCATACTTCCAGGTCATTAAATATAATTCCAGTGTTGATTTAGACACCTGTCTTAGTCCGGGATTTATAGACACATAATTTTGGAATATCGAGGTACACAAAAATGTATTTATTAGTGCAACGTTGATTTCCTTATGACTTTAGGTAATAAATTAAACCTGTCATGAAGTTCCGTTTTGTTTTATGGCAGCCTGCGCCTGGGACGACGAACCTCAGGCCCGTGACCTCCTGCTGGCAGTCTTCGCTGGGTCCTCACTCGCGCCTGTGAGAATAATAGCGGTTTCAGCGCTTATTAGGCCGTAGGCCTGTCACCGATTCTTAACATCGCAGAATATTCACAGATTGTTGCGGTCTGGAACGCGCAATTCACTGCTAAAATTTTGCTTTGCTTAACCGCCCGGCCTCCTTGCCGATTCTGACCAGAAACTGGCGCACAGAGCTGGGATCGAACCCACACCTCTCTGCTCCAATCTTGGTACTCTGAACTTTAACCACTAGGCTAACCCTAATAATATAAAGTGAACTAAAATTGAGGATCCGTACCATAAAAATTTTTAATAGTTCGTGACATTTGTAATATTTTGTAAAATATTTAACAGTGTTTGTCAGTAAATCAGTGACTGTTTTCCTAAAAAAGTCAATCAGAGACAAGAAATCGGCCGCTACATGTATCGGAGCGACTTTTGATAGTAGCCCCTGGAGAATGAAGATACAATTATGAATTATGCATAACACTGTATATTGAAGTTATCAATACAATTAATAGCCGAATTCAAATTTAGGGAAGCTAAATGTGCGATCGCTTAGAAATGTTTCTGGTTAGGCTGTATATTATTTAAAGGGAAATATTTCCTTTCAGAAAATAAAAGAATAGGTGAAATAACACAGCTCTGGTTATCAATCCATCCCTGGTTTATTTTTGTTTTATTTGAAGTTTTAAGCTAATAATCAATGGGTTAAGTAATGTATTAAATTGAGTAAATTTTATTTAATTCTCAAATTTTTAACCTTAATTTTGCACTATTTCAAAGAAAGCGAAACGTTTGTATGCAAGAAAGGCTCAATGGTCAAAGTTGCATCCTCATAGAACTACAACAAATACGGCGTCACAATGGCAACATGATTGAGTAGAAAATAATATTTTATGAATAATTGAAACACCTTAATTTTGATATTTTGTAATGATAATAAATTATAAATTTGCCTTTGAACAAACTTGAATCAACGTTCACATAAGTTATGGTATAATCACTTCAAGAACACTTATCCATGTAAATAAAAATCTATCACGTAGAAATCATTTAGTTGGTATCGATCAAAATCAGAGTTAATATTAAACTTCACTCGTTGGAAATTGTGATTTTCTTCAACTCAAAAAATCGCTATAGGAATGTTAACATGTTACCAATAACTCCCCAATGGATTTGTAAATAAAGCAAGTAAAGAGTAATTGTTTACTGCATATTACCTAATGAGGAAACCAATTTATGTGGTTGATGGGAAAACATGAATTTGAAATCATTTTGATGGTGAGTGAGTTAGTTAAACTCGCGATGAAGAAGAGCGTACAAAAATTATATTCAATGAAGAATATTACCGCGCTTGCATGAGACAGAAGGGAAATTTTCTTGTAAAAGCATGAATAATTTTAAAGGCAACAATTTTCCAATTCACGTTGAATCAGTGACAATACATAATGAATTCATTGAATTTTTTTCGATTCCAGGTGCCAATATTGGAAGAAATTCAGCTTAACTGCAGCGAAGGAAAACAATATACGTCAGCAACTGAAACGTTCAATTCACTGAAGATTTACTGCAAGGCAACAAATAAACTGGAGTATTGGACGACGTCTAGCAGCTGGGCACCGGTGGCCGGGTTGTTGAGTCTGGATCTGCAGCCGTGCGAGGGTTAATAATTACTATTATTATATTATTAGACTTTAATTTCATTCACTTATATGTGGCACTAATAATGTTTAAACGAAATGTGAACTGATGTACATTAGGATTTACTCTTGAAAAGTCGCAAAACATTTTTCACAATTTTATTTAATTATATTTTTTTACATATTTGTAAAAAAACACACAACTGGAAAACATAATATTTTTTTGCTGAAACACATTATGGAAACTTGACGGTTTTGGGGATTTTCCACTGATTCGATACAATTCATTACGTTGCATCCAAATAATTATTGGCATAAATTATCAAATTTATATTGGCTAATTTGAATTTTGATCCTAAGAACCCTCAGTCACTACATCGACATCAGCGGCTACGTCGGCATTTCTGTTGATTGTACAAAATTCATCTACCGAGACGCCTACCAGCGAATCTACTGTCACCAACACTACGAATCTAACCTCGACTACAACCGAAATCCCTGTGAATTCTACTCTAGATTCAACTGCAATTTCATCAAATGACTCAACACTTTCTGTCATGTCTACCACTTCTCCGCTAGACACAACGTCAACTTTACGCTCGGCTACTTTATCGTTAGAATCAACTAATGCAACAGTAACTACTGGTCGCACTGAGCCAACAACCGCATCTACATTAGATACCGAGTCAACAACCGCATCTACATTAGGTACTGAGTCAACAACCGCATCTACATTAGATACCAAGTCAACAACCGATTCTACATTAGATGCCGAGTCAACAACCGCATCTACATTAGGTGCTGAGTCAACAACCGCATCTACATTAGGTACCGAGCCAACAACCGCATCTACATTAGGTACTGAGTCAACAACCGCATCTACATTAGGTACTGAGTCAACAACCAACTCTCACTACAGGTGGGTGTGAGTCGTCATTGAGACGTGGACGACGAGTCTCTTGATTATTTCTTTATTATTCAAATAAATTATAGAAGTTCTGTAGGATGTGATATAACATCAAAAGAAATTAATCCTGATATTTTAAAAATAAATAGGCTAATCATTATTATTAATATAGTAAGGAAACACTCTTTGTTTATGTTAATAAGAAATATCTTGAACTTTTGCCTTGAAGGTTCAGGTAATCTAAGACGGCTGCAGAATATCTTCCTATATGAGCTGCTCCCAGGAGGTGTAATTCATGTGTGCCTTTAATTATCCTATCTTATTATGTGATCCTTTATTTATCCTATTTAATTGAGTATGAATTTGATTATTTCATCTAATTATGTTTGACTCCAGTTATTTTATCTAATTATGTGAGCCGCTAATTATCCTATCTAATTATTTGAGCCTGTAATTCTAATTATCTTATTTAATTACGTGTGACTCTAATTATTGAATCTAATTGATAATAAATTTCACGAGTTGAAAGATCTTGCAGGCTAAGCTGACATGGACGCGCCGGCAGCTGTCGAGGACATTTCTTCATGTCAGAGTTTGTCCACATGTCACTCGTGATCTCCAAACTAATCACTCATTCCAGATTTCAACCTCTCGTTAATTATTTCTTTTCAATTTTGGTCTTTTTCGAAAAGAAATCCCTTTACTCCTAATTCAAATTCTTATTTATTTATTTTCTTCTTCCTGTGAGCGTGGCGTGAATCTGTTGTTCAGTTAAAAAGTATAGATATAAGGAAATAATAAATAATCGTATAGAATAATTTATTCCATTTCCTCTGTTCAGGCAGATTTTTTTTTTTGTCTCTGTTTCAATACGCAATGCGCCATCGAACGCTAATGCTATCTGTAAAAAAACTGAATGGCACAAGAAAAGTTCTTATGGTAAGAACAAAAATAAATACAAGACTCAAAAATTTGGTTTCCTGCATTTCATATTATCCTTCACAAGTTAGTCACAAAATGACGTCAGGGAGCGAACACGGAAGCCTATCTTTCATTTCTATATGTTATCTCTGATGACTCAAATTCTGGTGAGATAAGATGACCATGAGCAAGGTTCACACATTGTATGCAGGGATGAAGAAATCCTATCAGGTCTATCATATTTATAATTATATTTCTGGTTATTGTAAAACCAAAATAATGATGTGAGTGGAAGATTATTTCTCGTTTCGATACGAACGAAAGATTGTAATAGCATGCCCCTGTCTTCGATCTTCACAGTTGCTAACCTGCCAGCAAATTCTTCGTTAAATTAAAAATAATAAAATAAATATTTTTAAGTCTTAATTTTGCTATGATCAAACACCGAACGTAGGAAGCTTTTACAAAAAAAATCACCTGCTAAAACCCATCGCAATCTAGCAGAACAACACTCGACCCTTGGCACGAACCGCTGAAGTTTGTACACAAATAAAACAAAGTGGACCCAGCCAGAGCCATGTTGGCCCTGTTGACTTACATTGTTGACTCACTTATTACAAGCAAGAATGAATCACTTGTTTCATTCCCACAATGATTTGAGTACCAAGTCCTCCTACGTGTTATCTTATTATCTAAAGATGATTAAAATCACGACTGTTCACAGACTTCGACCTTATGTTCACCGGTTTAGTTAAGTATCACGGTTCAAATATGCTTCACTGCAGCATCGAGCGCACAACTTAGCATTACTGCAGTAAAAGACGAACGCAGTTTAGTTAGATGGTAAAATTCTTGAGAAAAAATTATCGTTATCAGTTTTCATGAGAGATTGCTGAGGATCAGAAGGGCCAAATGTACAAAGATAAGGCGATGACATGATAACATGGCGTTAAATAGATAATTGTATTGTCTGGTCCATCAGTGTGCTTCTATACTCCAGCAGTGAACAACTATAGGCATTCGCTACAAATATTTCCTATAACAAGTAAGTATTTCCCATGCAACCCTTATTTGGCCTGTGTCCTGGGAAAGCAAGATTCAAAACACAGCGTCATCTCTTATAAAGTCACTCACTAATTATTATACTATGTAGTTAACCTGTTTATTCCACTAAAGTACGAAAGTATTGAGGTGATATATTAAGATTTTAATTAAAGGTCAGTTAAAATAATTTCTCATTTTCTTGTCCATTTGTGTTTGACTCGTTTATTTAAACCCAATTGTGACAGTTATGTTTAGCAGAACATGCAGCTCGATACGATTGGAATGCCTACTGCCTGATTACATTCTGCGTATGTCAATAAAACTCCGCCGTGTTTCCACGTTTGGTTAATTAGTGACATTTTCTGAGAACCCCGTTGAGTCTAAAAAATAAAATAACTGGTCTGATCCCACTTTTCATTTGCATGTTTACTAATTAACCTTCGATGCATACATTTTTCCGTTCATCCTGCGTTATCACCGTTTACCCGACATGTTTAAGTGTAGCTTTCTGTTTATACTATCACATTATTTGGATATAATAAAGCTTGAAGAAGGCAATAATAATTTAACGAGCGAGTTCAACTCAACATTCGACGGAACTAAAGAAAATCTCACACAATAGTCAGCTTATTTGTTACAATGAAACAGAGATGCATGTTGCTTGACAGAGTTGAGGAAAATAATATTTAATGATCGCTACACACGGGTGATCTGCTGATAACAAATCGAGGCCAAGTGGTACAATCGCATTCTTCTTATGATTCATGAATTATTTTATGGGTAACTTAAAAAATGTGCAGGAAGCATTGATGGGTCATTGGCGGGAATGAATTTATTCGCAATGTCAAGTGACACTATTTTCTTTAGTTCACTGTTTTGAAATTACTCGCATTTCCTGGATGAAACAAACCCCACAGACGAGAAATAATTTCACAATAAATTATTGTGAGCACAATATTATTTGTTGTGATATTATTTTATACTGTGGTTTTACCGTATATTGGTCTTCACAATTATACATTCTTTCATGAGCTAGCAAATGATCCTAGGTGTATCTCGAGAGTGATTGAACTCATGATCTCATTTATTCTGGAGCCGAGTATAAATGAGAGGACATATTTTGTGTGCTCAAATATCAACTGTAAGAAATTTTCAATTGGCCACCTCTATTATCATTCTTATTAACATTATTTTTCCGTTCAAGACTCCAATTATATTCATTACTAGTTGAAATTTTGACCCAATACGGAAATGATCGAAATTGTCCTGTTGTTCAGGGTAATGTAGAAATCTCTTTTAGCGAATTCGTGTATATTTTTCAAACAGATTCTTAAGCTTCACAAGCTACACATGATTTAATTTTGATAAAGAGTGATGCATTGTTTTTCTATAGAACCGGTTTTTATATCACCCATAAATTATATTAGTTGATTATACCGAATACACGAGCTGTAAAATAGGTTTGAAATTTAAATTCGGCAAAATTGCATGCATATAAGTGTAATAAAAATCATGAATAGTAACCAAAAAGTATTCGTAATTCTGCTTAAGTTTCGTCAGCCTATGCAGACAAACAGGAAATTACAAAATATTCATTACTTTCCCTTTAAGTGCTCAAAAGTGTCAAGGTTGGAATAAAAAATTTTAAACGCTCACGAAAAGAATATCGAGATTCTAATTCTGACCAAAATTTTCTTCCCGTACGAATAATTCAACAATAAATTCCTAGCAATTTATTCTCAAATGTCAGCTCGGCAGAATACTAAATACAAAAAAAAATGTAGCATCTTTTTCTAGCGCATTTTCTCATTTATGGAAAAAATGCCCTATAGTGCTCGACATGTACGTCTGTCCGTCCGTGACTTCATGTTTTCGTCGACGAGAAAATGCGCTCTCAGTCACTCACTGCAGTGAGTACTGCTAAGTTATTATTTTTTGTCCCAGTATGGCCCCACAGACCCAGCAAAGCCAGAGCCCAGCGCCCGTGTGGGGCCAGCGCTCCGTGTCAGCCCTGCTGGGCATCCCGCTGCTGGTCTCCGTGTGGGCGCTGCTGCTCAACATACCTGTCATCGGGTGGTTCCTTGCCATCTTTGAGGTGCTAATAAGTGCTTGCTTACTACTGCAATTATTAAGATTATTCCACACTTCACAAAGAATATAAATTAACATTAACATGGTTCCTTGCAATCTTTGAGGTGCTTATCGGTCATTACTACTGAAATAACGAAGCTTATTCTACACTTTTTGGTGTCTCTACTCAAGATACAAAACAATTAACATGGTTCTTGACCATCTTTGAGGTGCTAATAAGTGTTTGCTTACTACTGCAATTATTGAGCTTATTCTATAGTATTGAAGTCTACTCAAGACACAAAACCATTAGCATGGTTCTTGACCATCTTTGAGGTGCTCATAAGTGCCTACTAACTACTGCAATTATAAAGCTTATTCTACAGTTTTTGGTGTCTCTACCCAAGATATAAATTAACATTAACATGGTTTTTTGCCATCTTTGAGGTGCTTATCGGTCCTAACTTACTACTGCAACTACAAGGCTTATTCTACACTTTTGATGTATACCCAAAGAATATAAATTAACATTAATATGGTTCTTTGCATTCTTTGCGGAGCTTATAAGTGCTTACTTACTACTGGAATTACAGAGCTTAATATACACTTTTTGGTGTCCATCCAAATAATATGAATTAACATTAACATGGTTCTTTGCCATCTTTGAGGTTAAATACAATGAGATACCGTGATCGTTGACATCTGCTGCTTCATTTGAAAACTAGAATGTCAGTTACCTGTAAGCTGTTATTCTTGCAAGCTATTTTCTAACTTGTTTGTGACTCAATCTCTGAAAAAATATAGATTGTACATTTTAAACCGATTTCAGATGTTTCGAATATACTATGCTCTAAAATATGAGCCTCGGTATATAAAATTCACTTTAGTTGAACCTCATTACTAATATATCATTAAATTTAATGCTAATTATGAGAATGAATTTTTATGAATTATTAAAGATTTTGATAGCGACCTCGAGCATTCCAATTCGCTGTAGGAAGTTTCAATTCATCACAAAAAATCACCATGCCATTTACATCTGTTTCCCTGATCCCCGTTGCAGATGTTCGTCCTGCGCATCTGGAACTGGTTGCACAGTCTTCACTTGCCATCCTGGATGGAGTCAATCCTGCATTTCATTGACCGCATTATAGAGAAATTTGTAGTAGTTATTTCTAAAATCATCCACTGGCTTTTTGCAGACCGTTCTAAAAGCGATAAAAAATCTATTGCAGGTAAACGCTAGATAGCGAAGTTTCTAGCTATTTCCTCAATTTGCATTATCGTGGATAAGTTTTTCAGAGAAATTTTTACTAATAAATTCTTAATATATGATACCAAATCAAAGTCAAATGCTTCCTCCGTTACGGTTTATGATTAGAAAAATAATTTAAATTTAGGTCTGTAAGCTGAATTATCTGAATCATTTTCAGATAAATCGCCAATAAAATACCCCAGAATTCCCCTATAGACGTCATCACCTATATGATACTATAGGATTTATTCTTCCTCTGTTATTATTCTAATCGAACAAACGTGTTACATAATTACATAAAATGTACTATGGCAAGGAGCTACATTATATACGAATAAATTTTCATTTGTGGTTCGTCCTTTTTTTTTCTTTGAATTTTTAGATAAAACAATGATTAAAACAGCGTTTTCAATGCGAAGAAAGGTAAGACGCTGGATAGAGCATGTAGAACGTTGTGGGCTTTACGGTGCCCCTGACAAACGTATAGGTAATATACTTTTCAAAAGAAATATTGTAGCCGAGGATTAAGCCTGGATACCGAAAATGGTCAACCCAACCTAAAATTGTCTCAATTAAGGTGAAGTTCCGAAAACTGAAACTATTTTCGGGGTAAAAACATCTGTTTAGTTTTATCAGTGAGCGCCACTAATTTGCTGTCTAATAGCAACCTTGACTAATTCACTGACAGTTTCGACATTGCGATCACAAGCGTCATCCTAGGTACTTCTCGAGACATAAAACACAGCGTCATCAGCAAAGAGCTTGCACTTCACTTTAAAAGGAGAGGCGATATCATTTATAAAAATGTTAAAGAAAAGAGGCCCGAGGACAGAGACCTGCAGTACTCCAATCGGAATTGGTCTAATGGGTGAATTGAACTCGTTCAATGAAACGCATTGTTCCATATTGGTAAGATATGACTGATTAATGAATGAAAATGACCTCTGATACCATAACTGTTGAGTTTACTTTACATTTATATGATTCACGCAATCGAAGGCTTTTTTGTAAATCGAGTAAAAGAGTATCACACTTATAGATTTTAGTATGGAATTCCGTAAGTTGGTCTTGGATTAGACAGAATATTGCCATTGTCGTGTTAGTATCCATACGGAATCCAAATTGACTATCAGATATGAGTGAAAATTTATGAAGAAAATTTAACAATCTATACAGTGTAGAATTTTTTTAAATTATATTAAAAATAAGTAAAGGAAATATGGGTCGATAGTTGCGCGCATTATTCCAGTTGCGGGACTTAAAACCTGTTATGACACAAGCACGTTTCAGGACTGCAGGGTAGACTCCAGAAGACATACACAAATTAAAAATATTGGCTAAAACTGACACTACAATGTCAGCAACTTCAAATAATATTCTTGGCTGAATTTCCTCAATATGAAGCATTTTGCTTCAGCCTAATCGTATCAAACTTCTTATTTCGATGCAGAAATAGGCGATAGGAAGCAGGATGCCTCACAAAAAGGAACACAAATTAAAAGTCGTACCATCTTCCACTGGACCTAATTTTTTTTGTCATTGGCAACAGAGATAAAATAAACGTTGAATTCAGCAGCCGTATCGGTGCCAGACATTTTTAAATTCTGTATCAATCATTGTGTATACACTTTATAACTCAAAAGTTTTATAAAATGCTGGACGTTCTACTTTTTTATCAAAATAAGAGTTGTATATCAGAATGACAATAAATTTTCAGCATTTCTTGGTGATTAAATTGCTAAAAAGATGTATTTAAAATTAGTCTTTTAAATAAAAATCGACGGTTTCTTATTTCGATTGATTTTTCCTGAAATTTTTATAAGCTATTCTGATGAGAGCGATATCGTTGTTCCATATTTTAAGGGCTCGTTTTTCTCCATTAACTCGATACGTTGTCGACACGGCGTTTGTCGTTACACTGTGAAAACAAACAGAAATTAAATAAGTTCTTCAAATTGTGAACTTTATTTAGTTAGAAAAATATTACAATTGCATTTGATTAATTATCGAGTGGATAATCTTTCGCAAATTCAATATTTCAAAAAACGAGGAGCAAAAGTCATGATGTAGGTAACACACACGTACGTAAGACATTGCTGCTATTTGATAGTCGACGAATGTATAATTAGATCTATAGGCACCTATGAAACTACATTATATTATAGGGAAACTTAAAAAAATATATAATGAGGTACATGAGTCATATGTTAATGAAGTCAAAATAGGTTTTGATCCCATGCGAACAGCAAACCAGGCCGCACAATAGAAATGTATTTTTTACGTTATTTCCGACTGGTTTCCTTGAAATTTTTTGCATTCGTGATCATAGTGAACTCAAATGTTGATTAGAATTATCTCGTTCTAATTAATCAATGATGAAAACGCTCATTGATTTACTGTTCATACCTTTAAAAAAAAAACAGAAAATAACATTCAACAGGGACAATCCCTTGCAATAAATATCCCAAACATAATTTCAATAAATGTTACATGTGCGTAGCAATGTATAAAATTGTGTAAAGGCATGCAAATAATGTGCATTATATGCTACAAGACCAGAATTAACAAGTCGACTGAAGATGAAGAGAAACTACCATATATACTGAGTCGTCGTCCGCTTAATGCGTTCTTGTCAGACCGCTTTTTGTAAAATCGTCCCAGATCGTGGAAGAGATTCTCCGCAAAACAGGGTTCATCTTGACGGGTAATTGTGATGTTTATGTCCGGACTTACGCACGCAATTTGGACTAAAAGTCTCTCAAGAATCTGCTCGACCTGACCGGTAACTTTTAAACCGTTAACAAGCCTGTTGTGGGACGCACCGTTGCTTTGCCTCTATCTCATTATCCAACAACTGGAAATTTTCGTTTGCTGATAAAACATCAATCGACATGAACTTTTTGTTGCATAGGAACGAATAGCAATATTCTATTGTTTATAGTTCGTTAAGATTTTTTGTCACTTCTTTCAAATTGGCCTAAAGTCACATTTATCATGACCTTATATAAGAGAGCTTCGCTCTTAATTAATTTATTTCTTTTGTCCACCTCAGAGAAAATCTGAAAGTTTGTTATGTAATGAAAGAATCGGGAACAAAGAAGTTTATTTAAAGAATACGAGTTAAGATTTCATTGGAAATGAAGTTTGAGTTAAAACTGACATGTAGTCAATTTTAACAAGAGAACACACGGTATATGTAACTTCTATTTGTAATTGTCTTTTCAATTAATATTGAGTTCTTTTATGAATATTAATACATCCTTTATTTTAAGATTAATTAGATTTGCTAAACGATCACAAATTTAATTGTCGCGACTTTGCCATTGAAGACATCGTTTACTTAATATTCATTGAATGGGCCCCGACATCTTAGGCCGTCTCGTTATCTGTTCCTCATTATTTAAATGTGTTTATGTTTTGATTTCAAGCTTTCGCCTATAATTAAAAGTAATTATACATGTATCTACTTTCATCAACATATTTTTTGAAGTGCATTACACAATGGCCTGCAAGTGCCGATGCTTGGCTCACGATTGAATGTTATGCAGTAGCTTGTGATAAAAATTAATGACAAGTTTTAGGGGTACTTATAACACCAGCAGGCAGCTGTAAACTGCCATGACAAACTCGTACGTGAGAACCTTTTACCTCCTTCACTAATTTCACATCGCTTATACGCGTATTATAGCCCGCAATACTGGCCTGAATTCAATCACCTAAAGTCTGCTCCTCAGGCTTACTCGAAAATTTTCGGCGAATTTACTATGTATGCCTCTTTAATACTCCATCAAATATAAATAGTAAATATTACTCCTATAAGAAGTAATATTTGTTTATTTTAATATTACTTTTATGAGGATTACAATTACTCCAAATATTACTCCTATTTGGAGTCATATTACTATTACTCCAAATAAATAATACTACTTGGTATGCCTCTTTAATAATTCTCACCAACAAAATATTCTTGCTGTACGTCGCAGATATACTAGGCGAGCTATACTCTGATGTAACCAAGATTCAATGACATAACAATATAATGGCATTGCGTCGTGATTGTTAAACCAATTCCAGTCTTGTCACGATACTGAAATAATTAGTTAAAAACTCTGCATCAAAAGACTTCAAGGTTATTGCATGGCTTGTCTTTGTGCAAGTCTTCTGTACCGTAAAGTGTAAACTCCGTAATGTACAGCAGCACCTTAATGCCACTAGTAATGCCCTGTATATTCTTAGAAATACCACTAGTATAGAACCTCTGTCTGTAATTGACTCATTTTTCTACAATTATTGAATGAATAAGATTATAAGTGTAACCTAAATTGCTGTGTAAGTAAAAATTTGTAAAAATTTGTAAGTACAAATTTGTATCTGTAAACAAATTTGCTGTGTAAGTAACAAAAAGTGATTTAGTATACAATATTTGCAACAGTGTTAGTTCGTTCAGCGCAACGAAAAAAAATCTTCTTTCTAGACCAGAGAAATTTCCCGGTCTCTGGAAAGTTTCTCGTATGCTCGCCGCGCTCATAAAAACATTAGAAGATGCGCCTCGTGGCGATCATATTCAAAACTAAGCGAGTTTTTACCAAGTGGATGCCCATGTGCACGAACGAACAACGCACACCCCCCCCCCTTCGAACTCCCACGTGGCACTGCCTCGTGGTCGAGTTTTTACTCGTAGTACCCCAGAGGCACGTAGCAGTAATACGGACTTTATTCCTTTAACAATGGCTAATTATGCAATAAATTATACATTGCAGGAAGGTAAACCTGCTGAGTAATAGTTGGCTTAAAGCAGCGGTGGCCAGAAGTTAATCAAGTTGTTGTTTGATCATATGGAAACTATGGAGCTCTGACATGGCGACCCGTGGTTCACATTAGATTCATAGTGTTTGCAGTTTACTGTCGCTGTAAAAATTTAAACGTCGGTAACGTTTATGTAATAAAAAATCTGAAATAAAACAGCTACAGTAGACGTAAATTGGATTACCCTGAAACTTCATCAGATAATAGCTGTTACATCGAAATGCTATGCATCGAAATATTATAGGAGCCATTTTTTCATCTTCATCGTCTAAAAATGTCGAAAAATACACGCGCGTTAATCAGTCATGTAAAAAACGAAACAACCGTTTGTTGACTAATCCGAATTTATAAGCAATTTTTCCTCATCACAAATGCTTCTTTTAAATGGAGCAGCCTGAGGTCAGGCTACTGCGCAGGTGAACAGTAAACTGAACAATAAGGCAGCTATAAAAAAAAACAGCTGAACCACGAGGATTTTCTCGTGCTGGTCAAGCGAGCTCGCGACCCGCCGGCGATATATATTTTTTTTTTCTTGCGTGCGCCCGGCGATTTTCTTTTTTTTTTCTTGCGTGCGCGAGCGCAAAACGGGACGCCCTACACGCCCGTCCGCCCTAACCCCACACCCGCAATCATGCGCGCGACCTCAGTACATGATTGCGCACATCCAGGCAACAGCGCAAAAAATTATAATTATATATAAATATATTGCAAGCAACCTAATATCATGCAATCATTGGTAATGTCTGTAGTTCTCGTGGACAAGTTTTTCTGGTCGTAGTTCTTGTGGTCAAGTTTCTGGTTAGAAATATTTTTAACGCAGATGGTGTGGTATTAGGCAGTTATTTTGCTCGTTAAAAGACTACCAGTTCGAATTATTCAAATCAGCTTTGAATTTCTTTGTTTTCCGTTAAGATGGTAAATGCAACTGCATCGTTGCTGATAAAATCCCGGATAAAACGTAAAAGCTTCTAGCCGCAGCAGTTAAGTTTACGAGCAGTTGATGGATAAAGCCGCCCAGCAAGATGGCCGGCTGCACGGTACTACAATCTTATCTCTACAATAGTAGGCAGGTGCAATCTTTCTTACCATGGCAATCTTTTAGAGGACAGGACGGCCCAGTTGCCGGGAAATTATGAAGCGGGACTTCAAAAACTGAGTTGGTGCGTTGATATTGCATTACAGTAGTCAATTTTACCAAATTTAAATTAGAGAAGAGAGCATTAGCGGTTCTGATTAATTTTTATGCAATAATTGAACCATTTGTTCATTGGTCATGGGTTCGTACGAGCATATAAGGCTGATATTAATTGAAGTACATTGTGGATAAATTAAAATCTTACATCAGCGTCAGTATATGACATTTATCGCATTGCATAACATGGCCATGTCACCCCTAAAATCCGAAGGCACCGCAATGCTTGCTCAGAGTCATTAAATATTGATAAACAACAACATTATAGTTATACGACAGTTTGAATTTTATTCATGAAACTATTGCACGAGGTAATCTCAAATTATTACAGTAAATTCTCATTTAACCAACGAATCGAGGTCTGAAATAAAGTAATTCATGATCATTTTTACTGAGTAATTCTCGAGCTTCTAGACACGCAATGTTAATGATTAGATAACACTTCTAGCCAGCATACAGTAATGGGAGAAAAAAGAGTTTGCGAGGCTAAATAGCGGCGATTGATCCACTGCGAAACCAAACCTCCTTACAATTCCCCATCATGAAGTACAAAACAGTTTGGCCTTCTCCTGCCAAATAAGATCAAGTTGAAAAAATAGAAGGATTGTGGCCGAAGAAAATTGCTAACCCATATCGCTCGGGGCGAACAATACCGGTGGTGAAGTCTCGCTTACACTGATTGCTGGAGACAATGCTCTTATTTTTCTATTAATATTGACATTATGCTTTGCAAAAATTATTAACGGATGGGAGAATGACATAGAAAGAACGTTGATTACGAGTTGATTTCTTTGAACGGCCGTTTCATCAACATAATGTCAATTTCAAATTACAAGTGGGATGCATGTTATGGATTCAAGATACAACTACCTATTGCTTGGAACAATGCAATCAAATTCTGTGAATCGGATTGTCAGAATTCCTGCACATAGTGTGAATTATTTCAAAACTTTGAAATGCAGCTTCTTTCGAGCTAATTTCGATGAAAAAGCGTTCAATTAACCATATTTCATTGTTAGATTCCTGGTGGAAAATAAGCTATTCATTCAAAATAAAACTCTCCATTGTTAGTAACACTGAAAGCTCGTCGTCAGTATCGTACAGTCAGAATTCCAGCACTTAATACGCATTATTTCTAAGCTCAAGAATGAGGCATCTTATCAGATCATATACCTGTAGACCCTAGCGAGGTTTAAGACCATATTTTGTGTGCCGGTCAAACATGAAGCAATTGGCGTGGCCCAGCCATACATCCTGCACCGGTTGCTGGCCTGGGGCGACCTAGAGTTTCGGCAGGGCCAGCATTGACTATAATGCGCTGCTTAACAATTACCGGCAGCTCTGCGCCGTATATGGTTACGGCAGCTCTGCACTGTACGGTTACGGCAGCTCTGAACTGTACGGTTACGGCAGCTCTGTATTGTACGGTTAGGACAGCTCTGCTCCGTATATGGTTACAACAGCTCTATACTGTACGGTTACAACAGCTCTGTACAGTACGGTTATGGCAGCTCTGTACTGTACGGTTATGGCAGCTCTGCCCCCTTTATGGTTACGGCAGCTCTGTACTGTACGGTTACGGCAGCTCTGTACTGTACGGTTACGGCAGCTCTGTACTATATGGTTACGGCAGCTCTGTACTGTACGGTTACGGCAGTTCTCCAAATTACAGCAGCTACGGCCGATCGCGGACCGTTGAAAGGCACATCAATCTCCTGTTATTAACGGATGATTTAAATGAGATATTTATATTCAAATGTTTTTCTCAACTTTAATTACTCTCAGTTGGATTTCTATCTTCATTTCAAATAATATCTTGTAATCTGAAAGAAGCGGTTGCATCCAAATTTAATTTTTGTTTAAAAAATATAATATGAAAAATTAATACTTTGATGTAATTTTCGTGGTTGTTTGCCATTTTACCTTCACGGTTACATTAAAATTTTACCTTCACGGTTAATAGCTACTTTTTGAAGTATTGTTTAGGCTTTATATTATAGAAATACCACAATGAAGTATTGTTTAGGCTTTATATTATAGAAATACCACAATGATATTCTATTCTATTCTATTCTATTCTATTCTATTCTATTCTATTCTATTCTATTCTATTCTATTCTATTCTATTCTATTCTATTCTATCATGGGAGGGAGGAGTTTAACTGAGGATTGAGACGGCTTTGGAGGGTGACCCTCGCTCAGTCTGCCCGTGTCAGGGCAGCGGTGAGGTTGTGTGGGGTGTTCGTCACGTTGTTATTAAGATTTTCACAGACCCTTGAGACTCCAAGAAAGTGTTCCGTATAAATTATTCTCAGTGCTGAGAGAACCCAAAATAAAATAGGACGCATTTAAATAGTGCTGATGAGTTTCCATGTCTTTTGTCTACTTAATTTTCAGAAAATTATTATATATCGGAATGGAAATAATTTCAATAGTAAATATTTGAATTGTAATAAAATAAAAACGCTCCATTCTTGAAAACTTAAAGTGTTGATAAATATAAAAAAAGTGTTGTCGCGATAAAAAGCCTTTAATTAAAATTTTGACCTTCAATTAATGAATATTCCCAATATTTGAAACTGTTTCCTTTATATGCAAAAGCGAAAATTTGTCTCAAATTTCTCCTCCAATGCTAATGCTCGTAATATATTGAAATAACGATGTAAAATTTCATTCATACTGATAACTTAACAATGTTATTGTAAAATAGCGACATCTGCCGGTCATGATTTTCGAGGCTGTAACTCTCGGCTCAGTGCGTTGTCAACACGAAATTACTCATATCCATTATCATTCACTATTAATTCCGATGACATTCAAATTTTGTACTTTATCTAATTAGATGGAAAAATAAAGTCGTCATTTTTGCACATATTTATGTATATTTCGAGTCAGTTTTAGAGAGAATACATTTTCTGGGATTGGGACAAAATGCGCGCATGTAAAATGAAGGCATTTCATTTTTTAGTAGCTTCCATCACCTAAGATAACAACGTTATATTGCTACAAGTGTGTTTTTAAATCTGTTGAAAGATAAATAAAAAAAAATTATTAATTAACGGCATATATATTACGGCAATATGAATGAGCAATGTGAAGCGACAAAAATACGAATTTTAACAGTTAAATTTGTGATTATTTTTATTCTGATAGTCATGTGCTTAAAAAAGTAATGTTTTTGTTCAATTCTGCAGTAATGGTAGATTGTACATGAAAAGATTTGCCGTAACGCTTAATAATTTCTTAGCTCCTCATATGATTAATCGTTTACTATTTTGAACCACAAACAACAAATACTGGCAAACCAATTGAACTTGACAATCCTTTACGTTTACACTCTCTAGTACAGTCCCTGGGTTAATATTTTCGTGTGCATTTTAGTATCGTTTTTAACGCCTAATAGCTAAGGAATCCCTCTTAATTTCCTTCATTTTCAAACAGAATAACGAATTAAAGTTCTTTTTTTCTGTGCCATTGTAAAAAATAAATGAAGCTATAAATTTTACACATCTGCAAGAACCGCACTGATTTAATCACAGTAATTCTTGAAATATCTCCTGTACGTAGTCTGCTTCCCCAGTAACAACCGACAACAGCACGAGGTCGAAACCAATGTTTTGTCTGAACTGTTAAAGATCCTCTGGTGATCAGTCAAGTTTTTTCGAGACTCCCATAGCTCGCTGAACCTCTCCTACCATTGCAATTGAATCCACTATGTAATTTAGGATGATCTATCAACGTAGTCATAACACAGCGACCGCGATCATGCAAGGCTTCCATCAGTGCGTCGAGACCTGCAGGACAGCGCCCTCTGGCAAGCATGGAAGATAATAAGGTGAGCTATTTGTTGCCGTACTTAAAGGGGGCAATCATTTGTGTAGTTCTACTGTTGATAATTTCAACTTCTTACTGCAGGGGGTATATAAAATTATAACGTTGAAATACATTTCTTCCAAGTTTTTGAATCATTCAGTGCACCTTAGTCAAGATCGATTGGAACTGACGGTTAGTCTTGCAGCAGTGAATTGTTTTAATATGATGATAAGGTAAATTTACTAAAGTAAAATGTTGATAAGGTAAATTTACTAAAGTAAAACGCTAGACATTTTTTAATATTATTTTATTTTAAATTTTCTTACTAGGTGCCCACGAAGGACGAACTCTCGTGCGACGTCTGCTTGCGCCAGTTCGACCGCAAATCTCGTTTAGTGGCCCATTACAAAACTCACACAGGAGAGCGTCCCTTCCGCTGCCCTTATTGCTCCAAGTCATTCGCCTCTAAGGGCAACTGTAACACACACGTACGCGTGCATACCAGGGAAAGGCCCTACGTGTGCCAACATTGCGGCAAGCAATTTTCGCAACATGGGCAAATGGTGATACACGTTCGGAGACACACAGGAGAAAAACCGTACGTATGTTCGCACTGCAAAAAAGGCTTCGCTTGTTCCAAAGTGCTTAAAATTCACGTGCGCACGCATACCGGTGAGAAACCGTACGTGTGTGATTTCTGTTCAAAGGGGTTCGCGGCGTATGCAAACCTGGTGGTTCACCGCCGCATTCACACTCGTGAAAGGCCGTACTCTTGCAAACTTTGCGGCCGATCTTTCGAACATTCAGGCAATTTAATAAGACATGAAAGAGGCCATCACGTTGATGGGGGCATAAGATGCATACCATGTGGTCGGTTGTTCCAGGAAACTAAGGACTTGGTCATTCACATGAACGATTCGCACCCGAATGAAGTGTGCCAAGAGGACGTGGAAAATCAGGGAGAGAGCGTTCCATCAACGATGTCATCACATCATCAATCAAGTCCGATACGTTTAGAAAATTCTCTTCACCAGGACCACAAGACTTCATCACTTGAAGATACTTTCAAGGATGCCAACAACAACAGGAGCACTGCCGGTGTTAACTCAGCAAATAATATCAAAGAAGAATTTGGACAAGAGAGTCCAGACAGCGGTTGTGTCACTGTCAGCGATGAAGAAGAGGGAGGCAAATTCCACGACACGAATCGATATCACATGGAAGCCCGCAACACGTTATACCGAAGAGAACTCGTCCAAAAACAGTTGTCCATAATTCCTTTAAATTTGTCAAAAAACAATTGTCCTAGTCTCAAACCATATAATTCAACTGCAGCAACAGCAAATATCTTAAGTTCTCCCAGTGAAACTACAGTTAGTGATTTCGAAAGGAAAATACCTGGCCTAGCTCCGTTGAACATGAATAAGAAAAGTGCGTACAATAAAGCTTCCAACAACAACAATAACAATAGAATTTATATCTCTAGTCCCACGGCTTTATTAAATGATGGAAGTAATAGACAATTGAATGGTGCTTCTATGAAATCTCTACCCAACTTGTCACCGGTTAGTGATGTATCAACATCGATTTCTTTGTCATTACGGGACGATATTCATAGTTCGAACCCTTTAATCAACGGAGCAAGTACAAGTCTAGCTACAGTACCTGATCAGATTGAGATAACAACGATTTCGAAGGCCTGTGAAATTATAAACGGTAAAACTCGAAACTCAAAATCAATAATAGAAGCACCCATGAACTTTCAGTATTTTTCTTCGGTTAGCAGCAGCATATCTTCTGGAGGTCCGGGATCTCATCACTTCTTGCATCCTCTGACGTCCACTTCTTCAGCACTACCCGTATCTTTCTGCACCTCTGACATGAGCCCAGTTCATCCCGTCACCGAACGTATTTTTCAGACGCACAATTCTGAAGCAAATGTGTCACCTATGGACCTTTCTCTAGACTCAAAAGCAAATGTGGCAAATGAGTCCCTTAACTCAACTGGTAGACGGGGTGAAAATTATTGGGAGCTCGAGGGAATTAGCGAGAAAATAAAAACTCGTGCTTCAAAACGAAGAGAACTGGAAGATGTGTGCAATGAAAAAGAACTTAAACGATGTAAGAAAGATTCTCTGTCATCCAGCCCGTCCCGTAGCCCAGGTCAAAATGCTGCTCTGGATCCAAAAGATCAATTTGCCAGACCAATAAAACAATCATCCGATTTAATAGAAAGCAAAACACTAATTTCCAGCATCAAAGTTCCTGACGACGCTTGTAAATTTCAGCAGATAGATATTGCAGTTACAAATAACACCGGTGACACTATGAATGGCATCAATAATTTAGCAAGACCAGCATACCATCATCAGACCAAGGACACACAAATCAGACACCAACCCACTCCGGCATCTTCTACGAGTGACACGTGGATAACAAGAAATGTGAAAAGCTTCAAAGAGGCTACGCAAGTTTCTCAAACTTCTCCAAAGGCGATTGGAAACATCAGGGAAAGTATCCGGAAATCCTTATCCCAGATTTGTCCAGTGCAGGAAGACAGGAAGAGCTTCAAACTCAACGTAGAAACTGCCCTCATGGCGCTCGTCGGGAAGTCAACTATTTCGCATCTTGGGCACCCCAACCGCAATGTTGAGCAGGTAAATGTTTACACGGATGTGAAAAATTTAAAATTAGCTGTATCATTGATTACAAATTACTCGTAAAAATTAACTTTGAAAATAGTTTATTCAAAATAAGGTTTTAAATTTTTCAGTTTCAACATTGACCGTAGTTGTTTCCTAAATTTATAATATTCCAACACCCCGGTGTGTGTTCATTAATTGAGTTTATTCATTGCTAAGACAAGACTTGTTCATTTCTGTTAATTGATTGCAGTTGTGTATAGTTTGCTTTTTCAAAACAATTGATAACGCACCTGAAACATAATGATTTCGTTCAACCATTATGATAAATGGCTTGAACAAGCACCACAGCCAAGAATTTGCAACTGACTGACCAAACATAGTTGATGATAAAATAATTATGCCATAAATAATTCATAAAAATAACTGTTTCTAACGAAAATTTATTATTTCTCAGGTTCTAGTGAACCTGTTAGATGTGGTGGGCATGAGTCCATGCGCGGACGTGCGCGTGGATGAGGATGAGCGTCTGCGCGTAAACATGCGCAAGCTGCTGGAGTACGGCCTCCCTGAGCCCTCTGCATGGCGCAGCCTCGGGTGGCACCAAGAGGCCATCGAAGCCATCACGGCGAAAATAGCATCGTGGAGCATTACCAGTCAGTGGCGCCAAGCCCGGGACCTTTCGCAATTCTCGCGGGAAACCGAAACAGAATCAAAACTTGTTCAACCAAATTCATTGCATAACAATAATTTGTCTGCAACTACGAACTCGGTGTGCTTACCCACGAGCACGCTTCAAACAAGCAACGCTCTCCGACTACATTCAAACACTTTGCCGAGTGAAAATATTCCCTCGCAATCAAACACAGTACCTCAACCACTAAATTTTACACACGAGCGTCCAAATCATCTACGCATTAAATCAGATTCTTTTCTCATTCACAGAGAACCATTCATCATTCATTCCAACTCTTGCCTCACGCCTTCAGATGCTGTTCATGATAATCTGAGTGGTCGGCACGCGGAGATATGGAAATCGGACTCAGACGAAGCACGCACAGCTCGCAGGATGAGCGTGGTGAGCGACAGGCGAGAGACCAACAGAGTAACAGCAACGAGACTACTCGGTGATGATCAAACAGGCGATGAAGAAATATACGAAGTGCAATCGTCTGCCGTCTGAAGATAACTTAATTAAGATTAGTTAAAAATATTTTTCAGAGGTTTCTTTCATGATCTTTGTGACTGCAGCGAATAAGAACCTGTTCTCAAAGTGATATTTATTTCTAGCATTATTAAAAGACAATCAATCATGCATGATAAATCATGCATAATAAATGCACTTTTGAAAAAGATGCAAGCTTACGTGTGATACGTTTACATGGGCATGGAGCACGAGATTACTGGTATTCATGAATTTTAAACCATTCATAAGAAAAAGAATTATATAAATGAGGTAGAAAGAGACTTTATATAAAACTGAAACCGAATCACAAGCTATCCAATCTGACGGTGTCCGTAATACTGTGTTAGATCTATATTATTTATTATAAATTATTATATTATAATTACTAGATGACAATACGTACAAAAGTTATTCTATGGTGAGCGTGGATTTACATATATCACAAGTTTTGATGATATAATTATATCCCGGAGTAGCCTTGAAAACACTTATAACGCCGTATTTATAACTTCATTATAAAAAATATTCCACCATTGAGGCACTTTTTTCCGTAAAGTGCTTGTGTGGTAAGTGGTTTTGCGGCCATTACTGGCCGAATTATTCATGAACCCAAGACTCTTAAACGGCTGTTGCGCGAGAGCAAGCATGCATGAAAACCTCATTAAAAATCATCAATGTTGGCCTAATAAGAGCTATTAAGTGGTCACTTTTCTCGCCCATGTGAATTAAATTTGATAAACGCACATGTAAAATAGATGTGCATCTTTTGTGCCTGTAATCAACATCCTCAGCTGTCAAGCAGACGGCAGTGCCAAAATTCTATTGAAGGACATCGTAATTATGAGTAAAACTAATGGTGTAAATTAGCCTATAACCTATTGGGAAATATTTCACAGCTTTTACTTAAGACGATGGAGAAAAAAATATAAGGGCGACCAATGATGCAATGAGAACATAATAGTTATGCCACTCCTGTAAACGGTTGTGTTATTTTAGTGAACTTATGAAAAATTATAAATCTTCTGACTTCATACAATTCTCTAGCTCCGCTCTGCGCCCCGGTAGTGAAATAAGCATACAAGTGCAAGCCTGACCTGGGCAACGGAAGGCACAATCGTATATTGATTCATGTGTCTACCCAAGATTTATTGTTTAAAAGTGTGTTATTTATTAAAGTTTATTACATTGTAGGATCTGTGTGAATTATGGTGAATTTGGATAAATTTATATGTTATCAATTCTCAAAGCATTAACTGAAGATTATGAAAGCAAGTTATTTTACTGATAAGACATGACCTCAAAATAAATAGGAGTTACTTTTCTACGCTCATTGATGTGAACTTTTTTTGCGTTTCATTTTGTTTCTTGTTTCAGATTCGGCATGAAGTCATCAGCCTTATCGCTTATTTTTTAAGTATTGTTGCAAATTATTTTTACTATACGTTATTTATTGTTATTTTCCTAAAATGTACAGATTATAATTGTCTCTGGTGCGAAAGTATGCAGCCTATTATAACAATTGTTGCTGTGAGCTTTCAATATTCATGCCATTATATAATAACTTAAAGGCATCAATAAAGTCACCATAAGAATTATTGCTATACATTCACAAGAACATCTGAATATACCGAGTTAACCGTAATCCAGCAATGGCCTGCTCTACTGAAAACCATCATCCAACACAATTTATTGCAGTTAACATGGTAAATATTAATTTTCATTCTAATCTTCTGATGGGTATTAATATAATTTATATCGAGCATTTCTATTTATACGTAGGTAATATTATGTTTGTTGATTCTTTAAGAGTGTTAAAACATCATGCAAAGTTTCACAGTTAATTAAATTATTTATTTGTATGAAAGATTTTAATAAACATGCTCAACTTATTTTATTTTATTGCGCGAATTTCAATCGTTGAAGGAGTTGGTACAGAATATATTACTTCGTTTCATGTTTAAGTCTTTTAAAGCAAATGAATTGCAAATCACTAGATAAAGGCATATTAAGATCAAATTTATATACTTACTCAATGTAAGTATATAAATTTTACTCAATGAACTCAATCCTAAAGAAAATACCTCCTATAACCTGGCTTTTTTACTTAGTCGGAATCTACACAAACAAAATTCATTAATTGGACGGTTTCATTCAGTTTTTCCAGAAAATACTAAATTCCAACCAGAAAACCATATAACCACAATTTGAAGCTGTGGAGCCACTATCTGTATTCTCAAATTATTTTTTGTGTAAACGGAACATCGCGCAGACCCAATTGAACTTGCGACTGAATTGAAGTACACAAACTTCACTAGAATCGGAATCCGGCCACCGAATTGTCTGCCGCCAGCAAAATTCGCATTATAAGGAAGCAATGAATTTTAGATGATGATCTTCGATTGACGTACAAATTTCCTCGAGACGCAATCTTCACTTGTTCAACAATTTTATTGATTGTGAACATGTTGGTGCTGCAGGCAGTGAGACGTTCGCTTCTTACAGTAGACCTGAGATGAATAGCATCGGTTCAGACGCGACTGTTCAGTGGCGAATATCGGTCCACGATTTAATGACCTACAAATTTATTAAAACATTTGTTCTCAAATCTTTTCAAATAAAATTTTTTGTGATGTTAGTGCAAGCAAACTTTATACCTAGTAAATCTAAGCTTTAAATTTTCAATACAAAATGTTAATAAAATTTGGAAAAATCATATTATGAATATAAAGTCTAGGTGAAATTGCGATAAAGCATGTAATCAAGACATGAGCATAAATCCTTAAATTAAACAGTGATTACATCAATCAGAACTGCATATCAATGTCTACTTCTCCTGCATAAGCGTGTCAAAATATAAACATTAAAAATTAATTCATCGATAGAAGGTAATTTAATTAAAGAACGTAATCGAACATATTTCGTATGATGATATGAAATTTGAATGATAAAGCTCAAGTAATGACATAAGCGAAGCTAAAATGTGGCCTCACCGGACCAAGCAATTGCCGGCCAGAGCGCAGCGATTGAGATGAGCTTCTTTAAAGTTTAATAAAAACTTGAATTTCCAGAAGGTGCCATCCAATTCAGCGCATCGCGAGAATCTTCATAGCAGGAAGGTGGATCCAACAGTGGGAAAAAATTCCGACGTGTAATTACCTGCAGCAACTCAATGAAGATTTTCCAGGCTCACCGCTATTTCCAGGCTCGCCGCTGGTGATCTTATCGCTTATTGGAGAGGTACCTGCCCAAAACTATTCCAGGAGAATACGGTAATGAAAAGAAAATGAATAATGATGTTAACAGCCCATAGCAGCTTAGGTACATATACTGAATCCCTCAATATTCATTTCGCAATTTTCTTTAAAGTCTGTGCCCTACGCACGACAACAAATATGTGTAATCGTTTCATTGCTCATATATAAAGGTTCAGTCTTTGTGGTAAATTGTGAATGATCTGTGCATGGCTGACATACATTTCATATCTCAAGTGAAGGCTCCAAAATTAACAGTTGCTGTCAGGTCATTTTAGAGCCTCATATAGCAAATATGTATATCACATGAAGCAGTCATACACAGTAAACATCAGACAATCGATCATAAATAGTATTCAATTAAATTTTTCATGCGCAACTAAGGGGCATAATTTTAGCAATGGTAATACTTGCTTCGTTAGAAACGTGTTATATATCCGTTCGTTTTTTAAGATGAATAATGAACATTTACATCGTATTGAACTTTACATCAGCTCCATACTACAAGGAAGAAGCCTGATAAACATGTATGTATGTGAAAGATCCATTGAATACTGTACAAGTGTAAAGTAAACAAGTTCTGACGATACATTTTGCGGAATTACCAACAATTTATTCAAGTTGATGACTGAACCCTTTTTCCATGCCTCAGAAAATTCCAGGCTCGGCTCCAAAAATCTGGATAGACAGGACTGACAGGATCCAGGTACTGGTAGGGAACCGTTAGGTTGCTTAAATGGCACAAATGAGTGCGAAAAAACTTAAATGAGACAAAAGTAATGCTTTACGATAGGGGCATGATTCCAGAGCAGCGGAGCTGGTTCTCAACAAAAATTTTTACATTGGCTTTTGGCGCATGGTAGATGGAGACATGACCTCAAAATAAATACGAGGAATTTTTCTATGCTCATTGATGTGATTTTTTTGCGGTTCATTTTTTTGCAGACTAACCATGAAGTCATCAATCTTATCGCTTCTATTTTAAGTATTGTTTTAAATTCCTTTAATTATGTATCATTTATTGTTATTGGCCTGACGTGAACCTGGAACTTTGGAAAACGTATTAATTTGCCTTGTGATGAATGATTGGAGAACAAGTATTATTTACTCTATTACACTATAAGTATTCCTAATTCTGGGGGGTAATACCATGCAAAATATTTGTGTATTTACTCTGCAATTAGCCGGGCTAACCGAGCATGAATTTGAGCGCATTTTTGTAATAAATTGCTTCATATTTCACTCCGTTGATACCTGCATCTGAAAATCCTAGTCTAATATTGTTTCACTAAATTTTGCGTCAAGCGTTCGTTGTCGTTCTTATTACAGTCGTATGAGTACATACTACAGTCTTTCTTTTCACAGTCTGATGAGTACATATTACAGTCTTTCTTATTACAGTCGTAAGAGTACATATTACAGTCCTTCTTATTACAGTCGTAGGAATGCATTGTACAGTCTTTCTTATTACAGTCGTAGGAGTAAATATTCCAGTATTTCTTATGACAGTCGTAATAGTACACAGTACAGTCTTTCTTATTACAGTCGTAAGAGTACATATTACAGTTTTTCTTGTTTTAGTTGGAAGAGTACATAGTATACAGTCTTTCTTATTACAGTCGGAAGAGTACATAGTATACAGTCTTTCTTATTACAGTCGTAAGAGTACATAGTACAGTCTTTCTTATTACAGTCTGATGAGTACATATTACAGTATTTCTTATTACAGTCGTAAGAGTACATATTACAGTCCTTCTTATTACAGTCGTAAGAGTACATATTACAGTCTTTCTTAATACAGTCGTAAATAATACAGTCGTAATAATACAGTCGTAAGAAAGGTAGTCTTTCTTATTACAGTCGTAAGAGTACAAGGTACAGTCTTTCTTATTACAGTCGTAAGAGTAAATAGTACAGTCTTTCTTGTTACAGTCGTAAGAGTACATATTACACTCTTTCTTATTACAGTCGTAAGAGTACATATTAGTCTTTCTAATTACAGCCGTAAGAGTTTATATCACAGTCTTTCTTTATCCTACGTCATGGAATTGCCTTCCTCACCATGTACTTTACACAAGGTTGAAATGAAAATACAACTAGTGACATTGAACATGTGTATTAGCGCCAATGACTTTGATTTTATCTCAAGAACTGAGCGCAGTACAATAACGTTTAGCTGACGCCTGAGTGTGATTAATGTGTGATAATAGCTTGGCAATCTCTGGTCACCATTCCATTAAAGTATGAGCTGAATTATTATTAGTGATAATTTCGATGCTAATTCTAAAAAAAATAACTTTATCGTTGCCGTTTTCGTTTTCCGAAAACAAAATAGGATTGTAAAACGTTAGAAATTGATCATGCGGGTGTCGAATTGATATACAAGTTCGATTTAGATTACCCACAGCCGAATAGCACTATTCGTTCAACTGCTGGCAAGGTCTGATTGATCTAAATCAATAACTTTACAATGAATGCAAAGGAATTTCTACTCAATTATTCATTCTAATATGAAATGGGTGTACGGTACTTCTTACCACTTGCAGTCAATGTAAGGACATCGTATTACTGCAAATCAGCCAATTGCATTCTGCACTATACAGGTGCACTATACAAATTTTTCAGGTTGCTAAACAACATTGAAATGTTGGTATCTGTGCCACCGGCCTCTGTACACTCACTCTGAAATACAACGTCTGATTTCCATAATTGCTAATAAATATATTACTTCAGAGTGTTTTCTCGGGCTGAAGTGATTAATACCGCTGCATTTCATTTGCTGATCAGGGGTCATACTTTCAAAACTGGCTAAGTAAACGTAAGTACTTACGCTCTATTTTCTTATCTATGATTGGTGGATTTTGCTTGAAAGGCCGTCAATGATTGACTGATGACCTTACGATCTCTTAACTTTTTTTTGAAAGTATGGGCCCAGAAGAGCAGAGATCGGCACAGTTTGTTCAGAGTGCGAATCATAGCACGGTATCCTAGCTACCAGGCGTTCACCTCGAGGACATCGTTCCTGAAACAATTTATCCTCGTTCCGGTGCCAGGCAAGGCATTAAGATTTCTTATACAACTTAGCGCGCAGCGCTGGGTCAACGCGACGGTGAAACACGTGATGGTGAAACACGTGCCGGTGAAACACGTGCCGGTGAAACATGTGCCGGTGAAACATGTGCCGATGAAACACGTGCCGGTGAAACGCGTGCCGGTGAAACATGTGCCGGTGAAACGCGTGCCGGTGAAACACATGCTGGTGAAACACGTGCTGGTGAAACGCGTGCCGGTAAAACACGTGCTGGTAAAACGCGTGCCTGTGAAACACGGGCCGGTGAAACACGTGCCGGTGCAACACGTGTTAAGAGAATGCCTAGAAAAATTCAAACAGTTTCGATAAGAGAACTGAAAAATATTCGTGTATTCAAAAGTGGATGAAATTCTTTGATGAGTATAGACCAAAAGTTTGTAACGTAGAAATTTCCAATGAATTTCAAAAGTGGGATTGAAATGTTCGCAGTGT